AGAAGAAAGAAAGAAGAAAGAAAGAAGAAAGAAAGACAAAGAAAGAAGAAAGAAAGAAGAAAGAAAGAAGAAAGAAAGACAAAGAAAGAAAGGAAGAAAGAAAGAAAGACAAAGAAAGAAAGAAAAGAAGAAGAAAGAAAGACAAAGAAAGAAGAAAGAAAAGAAGAAAGAAAGAAAGACAAAGAAAGAAAGAAAGAGAAAGGAAGGAAGGAAGGAAGGAAGAAAGAAAGAAAGAAAGAAAGAAAGAACGAAAGAACGAAAGAAAGAACGAAAGAAAGAGGAAAGGAAATTCCTAACTCAGGTTTGGGGTCACATTTTACCAACAGGCTTGCATCAGGCACTTGAAGACTAGTAGAGTTTAAGGTTGAGGACTATAACGATGATAGGCTGGTCCAGCAGAAAAAGTATGTTGAAGGTCCCATCTGCTAAGGAGTTAGCACTGTCGATGGGCCTTTCCTGCTGTTCCCTCCACCACCACCCCGGTGGAACATCACACCTCTCCCGAGGTGATGCCCTCTCAGAAGTCCCTCAAAAGCTGGCTGTGTCCACAAGCTTCAGGGTGTCAAGGAAACGTTGGTTTAATGGGGTGGCTTCATTGCTCGTAGCTCCTAATGGTCTCTCCTCGCTTTTGAAAAATAATATGAATGGTTAAATTGTGGAATGTTTGTTTTTAATCTTCTCATGTTATGGTTATTTTTATTGCATACCAATAGGCAATTATTGCATTTAGGGGCATATATAAACATGATAGAGGGATGGATGGATGGATGGATGGATGGATGGATGGATGGATGGATGGATGGATGGATAAGATAGATACATACATAGACAGACAGACAGAGTTAATGGGTAGATAGATGGATAGAGATGGATGGGTAAGTAGATAGATGGATGGATAGATGTATGGATGGATGATAGATGGAAGATAGATGGATAGATAGATGAGAAAGATAGACAGACAGACAGATAGAATCAATGGGTAGATAAATAGATGTATAAAGATGGATGGATAGATGGATGGATGGAAGATAGATGACAGACGGACAGACAGACAATGACTTACTGCATGCCAAACAAAATGAGAAAGGCTTAATTTTCCTAAGGATCTTTTCACTCTTTACCAAAAGGGGAACTGACAGAGGCAAAAGGCAAACTCTTCTTTTAGAATTGCCGTTAGCAAAACACGCGATAGCAGAGTGATTTGAAAGTATCTTTCTTGTGCACGCTTGCGAGCGCATCTTAAAGGGGGCGGGTTTCGATCGTGAGACCACCCCCCCCCAACCCCATTTCTCTTCCCCTTTCTCAATATCTACATCCTTTCATTTCACAAAGAGAGTCTCCCCGTTGGCAGGTTGTGTATTTTGGAAACTATTAGAATTGTTTACCTCCAGATGAATGTGATGCGTGCTATGTCTTTATCGTTCTTATTCTGTTGGTTTCTTTTTTCTTGCACTTTTGAAGAGGTTGTTTTAAATATCGGTTCCCTTTTTCTAACTTCTGTTTTTAATGATTGTGTTCACCGTGAGGAGTGCTTTGGAAGCAGGAAAGCAGAAAAAGATTATTTGGGGGGGGGTGGAATAGAATCAACAAATAAACAAAACTTGCTTGGCCTCCACTAGATGAAGCTGAATACTATGCAATGCTAAAATCCATTAGGTGGCTGTCTTGTCTTCAACATAAACTGTGTTTTTCATCTGTTTCCAGCCATTTGACAGGTTCTCTGATGCTATTTCCACAGAGAATTCAGCTCAGCTTTGCTAGAGTCTCTGGAAGAGAAGAGAAGAGAAGAGAAGGGAAGGGAAGGGAAGGGAAGGGAAAGGAAGGGAAAGGAAGGGAAAGGAAGGGAAGGGAGGATAGGGAAGATACAATCAAGATCAAGTGAGGTACTAATACGAATCTATAAAGCCCTAGTAAGACCTCATCTAGAGTTCTTCATCCAGTTTTGGTCACCACACTATAAAAAAGATGTTGAGACTCTAGAAA